CTCTGGGTAGTTTGCTGCTGTCAATACGACAGCTAGGAGGAAAGCAGTTCGAATAAGGCGGGCCCTCCACAGCCTATGGAGGTGGTTGCAAGAGTCGTTTGCTGCTGCTGTTGCTGCTGTTGCTGCTGCTGCTGCTGCTGCTGCTGCTGCTTGCAGCTGCTGCTTGCAGTGCTGCAGCAGCAAAGATAAGGCGGATACGCTATCGATAGAACTTCCACAGAAGTGTGGGGCGACCGCAAACAAAATGCGAGCACTAAACGGCACCATGCTGCCTCTATAACACACAAACCCTAAACCCTAAACCCTAAACCCTAAACCCTAAACCCTAAACCCTAGATGAAAAGATATATGCTAAACTGGTGCGTGCATCCGCCCCTCTAAACCCTGAATTGGGGTTTAAACCCTCAAACCCTAAACCCTAAACCTTCCCCTCTAAACCCTAAACCCTAGAATGCACCCCGCGAGCCGGCAGGGCAACTGCAGCCCTGAAGTCCCAAACCCTAAACCCTAAACCCTAAACCCTAAACCCTAAACCCTCGGCTTGCCTCTTTCCAGGGTAGAGATGGGGGTATTGTTCATAGTCCCAGCAAGGTGCAGATAAGCTTCCTACTGCTGCTGCTTCCTCAGCAGCAGCAGCAAAATTCTGCAGCACAAACCCCCCCAAGGTGTCTATACACCCCAACAAACAACGCAAACCACAAGGGTTTAGGGTTTAGGGTTTAGGGTTTAGGGTTTACGGATAAACGCAGGAGACAAAAAAGACGCAAAGTTCGCAGCTGGAGATACACCCGAGGAGGCAGATTGGTAGAAGACTGAAGACAAACAAAACCCTAAACCCTAAACCCTAAACCCTAAAAGAAGCATCTAGGCGACAGCTATAAGAGCAGTAGCAACACATACGTAACCGCACCGGCAGCAGCAATAACAGCAGCAGCAGCAACAACAGCAGCAGCAACAACAACAGCAGTAGGAGAACACGCAACAGCAGCAGCTGCTGCAACAGCAGAAGCATCAGCAGCTCAGCAGCACCGGCAGAAGCAAAAGAAGCAAAAGTAGCATCAGCGCAGCAGCAGCACGGCAGCAGCAGCAGCAGCAGCAGCAGCAGCAGCAGCAGCTGTTGCCTGCCTGCAGTTTTTCGAGTAGAAGGTTTGCTGCTCTGTCTGTCTCTTTTGCGCTGATGAGAGAAATAATAAACTCCATGTCGCTCTCTCTTTCACTTGCTGCTGAAGCACCCGCTGCAGCACTTGCTGCTGCTGCTGCTGCTGCTGCTGCTGCAGGAGCAGCAAAAGGGCGACCTGGAGGAGGAGGAGGAGGCTGCATCAACCAAGAAACGCAGAAGCAGCAGAAGTACCTATTGCTGCTGCTGTTGTTATTGCTGCCGTTGCTGCAGCAGCAAACGACAGCAGCTAACGCAACAGTAGCGGTAGCAGCAGCAGCAGCAGCAGCAGAAGCAGCAGCAGCAGCATACCACTGGTGGTTGTGGAGGGAGGTGCGCAGCGGGCATCAAAGATACGCCGAAAGGATTCGCTGCTGCTGCTTGAGTAACTCTGCTGTCGCCGCTGTTGCTGCTGTTGTTGCTGCTGCTGCTGCTGTTGTTGCTGCAGCTTGCTGCAGCAAGCTGCTGCTGGTTGCAAGGCACAGCATAATGCGGCTCCACAGAGACCCTTTCAGCATATGCAAACTGAGGTGTATGTGCAGCAGCAGCAGCAACTGGTGCTGCTACTGCCTCATGGGGGGTTAGACCGGCTGGAGGTGAATCTGCTGCTGTTGCTGCTGTTGCTTCTGCTGCTGCTGTTGCTGCCGCTGGTTGGTATTGCTGCTGAGGTGTATAGGCACCTTCTTTTTGTTCTTGTGACATAATAACTACTTTATTTTATCCTGATTTATCTAAAAAAGAAGAAGTTAGATTAACACTGAACGCTAGAGTTCAGGTGTATAGGCGGCTGCTTCTGTTGCGGTCTGCTGTCAGCAAGTGTATGAATTCTAAGAAAATAAGAGGAAAAATATAGAAAAAGAAATATTAATTATTATATTTATGTTGAAATTATAATTAAATTTAATTATTTTATCATATTTCTAAACAAAAAAAGATTATGCAACAAATTGCTGGCGGCCGCGAGCGGCACGCCTGCTGCATGCGGAGCGTCTCACAGATGAATTATTTACTCGATTAATTTAATTAAATTAATTAATTAATTAATTTATTTATTTATTTTCATCATTTTGTTGTTTATATCGCTCAGTTCAGCGCTTCTTTCTGCGGTTTTTGCAGTCAATTTGACGTAAGGCGTGCTGCGGTGTATGCGCAGCTGCAGATACACCCAAACTCTTCTTCTTTTATTATTGAAATCACCGCCCTTTTATTGCAAATCAGTGCAAAGTTAACTTCTTTATTCTCCTAAATAACTCTACACACAAATATATATACATGTACGTACCCAAGCACATTCATATATATATATATATGCAGATCCGTCTCTATCTATGTATATATATATATATATTTATATATGTGGAGATGCACAGGTAGAAGAATGAAGAGGGAGAGAGAGAAGGTAAGACAACGACCGAATTTTCATCTGTCTCTACCTCTTATCTGTCCTTCTCAGCCTTCCTACATATAAATATATATATATATATATATTTATATATATATGTACTTCATTTATATATATATTTTTAATATTTGCATGCAGAAGATGTCGCAGAAAATGGCATCGACTTGCCGTCGACTAAAAACACAAACAAAAGTTTCAACAAAATAATAATAATAAAAGTATGATAGTAATAATATTATATTACTCCCCTGAGCCTTCTTCAATAATAATAATAATATTATTATTATTATTGTTGTTGTTGATGATGTTATTATTATTATTAGTGCTCTCGCGATCCTCTCTTCGTGTATATATATATATATATACATATACATATATTATGTTTACATTTATTTGCGCAACGCATTTACATGTTTATTTATATGTTTATATATATATATATTTATATATCTATATCTCTGTATATATATTAAGATATAGTTAGGCATAATTATATATATAGTTTATTTTGTTATATATGCTTTTATGCTGCTATATATCTGTTTATATATGTAGATATATCAATCCATAGTCATGCACAATTATATATATATATATATATATATTTATATATTTATATATTTACATATTATTTATATGTGTAGATGTCTTTAGTTATATTGATGTATATAAACGTATATATATATACAAATACATGTATATATATATTTGTTTATATATATGTATATATATATATACATATATATATGTTTATATATATGTTTATAATTACTACAGTTAATTTTATTAATGTCAATTTCTTCTTTATAAACATATACACCCCACAAACAAGGCTACCCAACGGAACGCTGCATGTACACCCGTGCATGCGGTGTGCATGCATGCATGCATGCATGCACGCGGTGTTAATGCATGCATGCATGCACGCATGTATGCAGTGCATGCATGGGGTGTACATGCATGCATGGATGCATGCATGGAGTGTACGAGCATGCATGGGGTGTACATGCATGCATGCATGCACGCATGCATGCATGCATGCATTATGCTGTCTCCTCCGAGCCCTCTCCGAAACCGCCAAACCCTAAACCCTAAACCCTAAACCCTAAACGGGTTAAGGCTCATGGGGGGCTGACACTTAAACTCGAGGCGCCTCGCCTGCCGCAGCTGCTGCGTTCCTCTGTTCCTCCTCCTGCACAAGCCAAACCCTAAACCCTAAACCCTAAACCCTAAACCCTAAACCCTAAACCCTAGCTCAAGGGCATTTAGGCGTTTAGATACTGATGAAGAGAGGAGATAGAAGAAAGAATCCACACCTCTTTCTCTGCACAGGGTTTAGGGTTTATTACTTCTAGGGTTTAGGGTTTACTGCTGCTGCGGGCTGAGAGCAGCACTAGCATTACTTCATTAAAAAAGGGTTTACATAAATTACTGTAAAAGTCTACGGTGTACTGCGAGGGTTTAGGGTTTGTTGTGAGGGTTTAGGGTTTAGCATTAAAAAAAACGAGAATAAGGTGTAAGCAAGTAGTGGTATGTTATAAGTATATGATTTTGCATGTTGATTAGATTCGGAAAAAAGGGTTTAGGGTTTAGGGTTTAGGGTTTAGGAGGGTTTGGACATACGAGTACGGGTTGAAAGTAAGGGTGTTTGAGTGCATCTTTCGGCAGTATTCTTTTCTGATGATCGTACACCAGCATCTTATCAATTAAATCAACTGCCTCCGGCACAGCTAAGTGCTGATTCTCAGAAGATATAAACTTTGTCCACGGCTTCTTTGTATGCTTCCCTATCATCTGTAAAAAATTCTTCTCTAAGCTCAAATCGTACTTATCCAGATATGCGTATAAACCGTCTGTCCCTGTAAACATACATATTTTATATATATTATATATATTATATATTATATATTGTATTTAATATATATATATTATATATTATATATTATATTTGATATATATATATTATATTATATATATAATATGTAATATATAATGTATAATATATAATGTATAATATATTATACAATATACATATATATATATATATATGTGGATGAGGGTTTAGGGTTTAGGGTAGTGCTTGTAGGTATATATATATATATATATATATATATAATATATATATATATATATACAAACACTACTACCCTAAACCCTAAACCCTAAACACTTGGAAAGCTTAAATCTAAGAAAACCCTAAACCCGAGGAGACAATAAACCCTAGTAAACCCTAGAATAAACCCTTAACCCTAAACCCTAAACCCTAATCACACACCAAATAAATAAACGAAACCCTCTACTGTTCAACCCAATACAATAACATGCACTCCATACAAGCAATAAACCCTAAACCCTAAACCCTAAACCCTAAACCCTAAACCCTACCCAGGACTCTGGCGATCTTCACAAGTTGGTCGTAGTTGTCGTGGCCATAGAAAAACGGCTCCTTCTTGAATATCTGGAACCGCAAACCCTAAACCCTAAACCCTAAACCCTAAACCCTAACCCCTTGCCCTAAACCCTAAAATCTAAAACCTACACCCGCCGGCCAAGCCCCGGACCCTGGAAGCTAAACCCTATACCCTGAAGCCTATCCCCATACCCCAACACGCCTCCCAAACCCTAAACCCTAAACCCTAAACCCTAAACCCTAAACCCTAAACCCTAAACCCTAAACCTCAAACCCTAAACCCTAAACCCTAAACCCTAAACCCTAAACCCTAAACCCTAAACCCTAAACCCTCGCTCACAATGCCTGCCAGCATGCATCCTAAACTCCACATGTCGAGGGAGTAATCGTACACCTGCAAATCCACTAACAACTCCGGCCCCTTGTAGTACCGACTCGCCACCTGCGCTCACAAACCCTACACCCTAAACCCTAAACCCTAAACCCTAAACCCTAAACCCTAAACCCTAAAACCTAAACCCTGAAGCGCCACTAACGGCCCCTAAACCCAAACAAACCCTCACGCTACGCGCAAGAGGCAACGGAGAGGATATGCCTTCCTGCAGCTGCAAAGAAGCCCTCCACATCAAACCCTAAACCCTTAACCCTAAACCCTAAACCCTAAACCCTCGGCAACGTACGCGGACGTTGTACTCGTGCCCGGGATGATAGAACTCCGCCAGACCCCAATCAATGAGTCTCAACTCCCTGCAGCAAACAGCAAAGCGAGGGTTTGCGGTGTCTGTACACCCCAGAGAAGTTAAGGCTTCTTCAGGGTTTAGGGTTTAGGGTTTTGAGGTTATCACCTCTTTTCGTGGTCTATCATCACGTTGTGGGGCTTCACGTCTCGATGCATTATTCCCTGGCTGTGGCAGTAATCCAAAGCCTGCAACAAACCCTAAACCCTAGAACCTAAACCCTAAACCCTCGAGGCCCCAATCCCTGGGCCCCGATAGGCTGTAAACCCTAAACCCTAAACCCTAAACCCTAATTCTGGTTGCAACTCAACACCAACCAACACCATTTAATGAGGCAGCTTGACATCCCCGCGAATCAAACCCTAAACCCTGAACCCCCAACCCTACGCCCTAATAAACCCTAAACCCTAAACCCTAAACCCTACCCTGAGCAGCTGGTAGATGTAGTAGCGGATTTCGTAGTCCTGAAGTGTTGGGTAGAGGGTTTTGAAGTCGACGTTGTTAACATATTCAAAAATCTGCATCCACAAACCCTAAACCCTAAACCCTAAACCCTAAACCCTAAACCCTAATTCCGTCTACCTCATCGGTTGATTGCATGAATGTTGACGCAGTGTATAAATGAGGGTTTGTCTTTGTAAATCTACAAGTGAGGGTTTAGGGTTTAGGGTTTACAATTAGGGTGATGAATTATTATAAAGGTTCAAATTAGGGTTTAGGGTTTAGGGTTTAGGGTTTAGGGTTTAGGGTTTACGTACGAGGGCTGGAGTGCGGCTTAAGGGGTCTTTAACAACATCGAGGAGTTTAATTATATTGGGGCCCCCAAATAAATTTTGTAGTATTTTAATCTCTCTTCTGATCTTCTTTTTTTTAACAGGTTTTAGCACTTTAACTACACATCTTTGTCCTACCACAGCTAAGCTCCTTCTCTGCTGCTGCTGATTAGGGTCTGCTGCAGCAGTTCCTGCTGCAGCAGCAGCAGCAGCAGCATTATTTGTATTTGTTTGTGCTGCAGCACCAGCCCCAGCCCCACCACTAGCAGCAGCAGCAGCCTGTTGTTGTTGCTGCTGCTGTTGCTGCTGCTGCTGCTGCTGCACACTATTATTATTATTATTATTATTATTATCCTGCTGCTGCTGCTGCTGCTGCTGCTGCTGCTGCTGCACAGCAACACAGACACCCTCGAAGACTTCGCTGTACTTGCCTCTGCCGAGCTTCCTAACTACTTCGTATCGATCAGGCGAACTCCAGACCACCGTAAAATTTTCATAGTCCCAGTACTGACGAGGACGGTTCACGTTCACTTCCGCGTAATACCGCGCTATGTTCGTCTGAACAAACATAAACCCTAAACCCTAATCAACCCTAATCAACCCTAATCAACCCTGATTAACCCTAATCAACCCTTAAAACAATCAGAAACCCTCATGAGACACTAAAACACACTTATAAACCCTTATTCACATTCACTTTCGCGTAATACCGCGCTATGTTCGTCTGAACAAACATAAACCCTAAACCCTAAACCCTAAACCCTAATCAACCCTAATCAACCCTGATTAACCCTAATCAACCCTAATCAACCCTTAAAAACTTTAATCAACCTTTAAAAACACTAATAAACCCTCATTCACGTTTACTTCCGCGTAATACCGCGCTATGTTCGTCTGAACGCAGATCAATCCTAAACCCTAAACCCTAAACCCTAAACCCTAAACCCTAATCAGCCCTAATCAACCCTAATCAACCATAATAAACCCTAATAAACAATCAGAAACCCTAATGAACCCTAATAAAATCTAAGAAACCCCAATAAACCCTAATAAACCCTAATGAAGCATAAGAAACCCTAATAAACCCTAATAAACCCTCATTCTGATTTGCTTCTGCGCAATACCGCGCTATGCTGGTCTTATAAACCCTAAACCCTAAAACCGTAAACCCCAGTAAACCCTAGGAAACCCTTTTAAGCCCTAATAAGCTCTAATAGACCCTTGGAAACCCTCATAAACCCTAATCTACACTAAGCAACACTAATAAACACTAATAAACCCTAAACCCTAAACCCTAATAAACCCTAATCGACACGAAGAAACCCTAATAAACACTAGGAAACACTAATAAACCCTAATAAACCCTAATTAACATTAATAAACCCTCATTAACCCTCACATGCCTTAATAAGCCCTAATAAACACTAATAAACCCTAATAAACACTATGAAACCGTAATAAACCCTAGAGAAACTTAATAAACCCTAATAAACATTAATAAGCCCTAATAAAACATATTGACAATCATAAACCCTCAAATAAAAGAAAGCTAAGAAAGAAGCAAAGAGAACGAGATGAAGAAAGATACACGCCAACACCACTCAGAAACCCTAAACCCTAAACCCTAAACACTAAACCCTAAACCCTAAACCCTAAACACTAAACACTTCTTGGGGCACGCAGAGAGGAATCAGCTTGAAAGACACTTAACAGGAAGCTCAACGGTGGTGATGAAGCAACAAACCCTAATCTGCTGCAGCGAAGACTAGGGTTTAGGGTTTAGGGTTTAGCCACTGCACGGGAGAGGGTTTAAGCTCGCAGGCAGCACAGCGACCGCGAGGGTTTAGGGTTTATGAAGAGGGTTTAGGGTTTATACTCACCGTTGTACTCGAAGACGAACCCGACG